CTAAATTCCCATCTCCCTAAATTCCCATCTTCCTAAATTCCCATCTCCCTAAATTCCCACTCCCTCCCTAAATTCCCATCTCCCTAAATTCCCATCTTCCTAAATTCCCATCTCCCTAAATTCCCATCTTCCTAAATTCCCATCTCCCTAAATTCCCATCTTCCTAAATTCCCATCTCCCTAAATTCCCATCTTCCTAAATTCCCATCTCCCTAAATTCCCATCTTCCTAAATTCCCATCTCCCTAAATTCCCATCTCTCTAAATTCCCATCTCCCTAAATTCCCATCTCCCAAAATTCCCACATCCCTAAATTCCCATCTCTCTAAATGCCCACATCCCTAAATTCCCAGCTCCCTAAATTCCCATCTTCCTAAATACAATATTAATTATTTACAATATTAAACATAACTTACAATATTAAAACAGACAAAGAAAGCTGAAATTTTATATCAATTTTATATTATACAACTGTCTTTAAATTATTGGACTCCAAAATTCGAGTAAAATTGATCACAGCAGAACAAGTGCGTCAAACTCGTCGAAATAGTGCAAGGTCGAGATTGTTACGATTAATTGGAGTTCAACGAGTATTGATTATTTTAATTATTGTACGAATTAAATTGTAAACGACTGTTCTTAAAATACGAATTTTGTGGTGAGGTTACGTCACATGTGTGACCGATTTTGTAGGTTAGGTTTCAAGATCGAACTTTCTTGGAACAGTTTCTTTTTATCGGTTGTAAGAATTAAACGTTGAATATTAAATTTTATCGAAATTCATTTTCGAAGGATACATCCGAGGCGAAGCATGCGTCATGTTGTTTATACGGGACAGTGAGCATGAAAGAGGAAAGAAATAAAGTTGCAGTACTTCAGATAAACATGGTAAATAGTGTATTGTTGTACGACGTGTTTTGTTATAAGAATTTGTTGTTACAAATTGTTGTTATTTTGTTAACTTTGTAAGAAGCAGTCGATGACGAAATACAGGGTGGACTAAAAAGTGCACATATGTACACTTTAAAGTGATGTACAAAAATAAATAAATAAAAAATAAAATATGAACTACTGCATTAATTCATTATTTCTAAAAGTATGAACATCTTAAAAAAAATACATTTACAAATAATAATAAAAATTAACAAAAAATAAAATATGAATAAATGCATCAATTCACTCCTTCCAAAAATATCCCCAAAAAGTATACTAACTAATTTTACATATGAAAATAAAAAACCTCGATAAAAGAACAAAGATGCATTTCAAACCCGTTAATTTTATACGCAACAGCCCCATAAAATAAAGCAACGTTAAACAATATTACAATATCACGTATGCAAATCCGATTTTATGACTTAACTTTATTGAATCTCCTGCATTCTCTTTACTTTCACATATGTCAATTTAACTGCACCGAATAAATTCGATAAACATATAAATCATAATTGCACTTGACATTACTTTATCCCATTTTTATTTACATAATTCAATATATACATTCTGTAAATGAAATGTTCATACGGACATGCTTATATGCCGAGGATTTGTAATTATTCACCGTGGGAATTAAAACGGGTATCAGCACGAAAGCATGAAATTATTCACAAGTTCCATCCGAACAGAAATTACATATTATATCTTCACATTTGCGCTCCGCCATTTATACATATAATATGTAGTCTTCATCGTTCACCTGCGATAACATACACTGTTCGCGAATACATTTCGCTTAATAAAATTACGAAACGGTTCATATTTTACAGCCAATGTATTCTGGTTTATGTGTACATACATATATGTGCTCTTTGGAGGAACGTTTTGTATTTTGGTGAATGATGGACTTTGTGGATGGGGAAATAAATAGGGGAACTATTTACAAGATTTTTTAACGGTATTATTTGTGTACTTCAGTTCTCAAGTTTCTAGATTCTTATATTCTATATCTTTTAATCCCTATATTTCCAAGTCCCTCAATTCCCATCTCGCTAAATTCTCATCTCTTTAAATTCCCATCTCTCTAAATTCTCATCTCTCTAAATTCCCATCTCTCTAAATTCCCATCTCTCTAAATTCTCATCTCTCTAAATTCTCATCTCTCTAAATTCCCATCTCTCTGAATTCCCATCTTCCAAAATTCCCATCTCCCAAAATTCCCATCTCTCTAAATTCCCATCTCTCTAAATTCCCATCTCCCTAAATTCCCATCTTCCAAAATTCCCATCTCTCTAAATTCCCACATCCCTAAATTCCCATCTCTCAAAATTCCCACATCCCTAAATTCCCATCGCCTTAAATCTCAAATCCCTAAATTCCCAACCCCCTAAATTTCCATCTCCCTGAATTTCCAAATCCCTAAATTCCCCAAAATCCCTAACTTCCCAAAATTCCCTAATTCCCATGCCTCTGCCCCGAATTCCCTAAATTCCCTAAACGCAAAAATTTGCAAATTCTCCCTAAAATCCCAAATCACTCCAATTTCTAAATTTTCCCCAAATTCCCGAAAGTCCGATCGAAGTAAGCAGTGCAGTACAGTAATAATAAAGATGTCGTCACTTTTCTGCCAGAATAGAGCCTGCCTATAAGCGGAGTGTGAATGTGCCTGATTCTAAAATAAGCAAAATTTTCATTGCCTTCAAATAGTTACGTAATTGCCAAGGATTTAATTAGGACAAAAATGTTGAGCTCTCAACGGAGGTTACAAATCGGTGAACTTTGAACAGCGTTCTCCAATAATAGAAGTAAAAGGTATAATTATAACAGTTGAATCTCGGAGCTTAAAAGCATTTTCTTTCCTTCTATCTAGTTCATTAAATATTGATTTTCCCGTCGTTGTACAATTCATAGATTCAATATTTCTCTGTTATTAGTCTCGCATGATATCTATGACGTTTACCGATTTTAAAATATATTTCCTTTAAATTAATTTCGTTTCAAATATTTGCGAACGTTAGATGCAACTAACAAATTTTAATAAATGAAAATTGTTGTGATAAATAATGCAAGTTTTATTATCCTCTGCAAAGCACGTGATTTATGTGCAAGCTTCTACTGTTTTATCTTTACGCATTTTTTTTTTTAAAATATCATACCTTTTTTGTTGCATACTGCATCTGGAAATATTTACCAGATAAGCTTTTATGAATTGTTAACATGCTTACATTCACCAAAAGCGAAATATCGATTATTTCTGTATCTATAGGTTCTGGATTATTGCAAGTTTACAGACTTAAACCGTTGACCCATTACGCGAACTAGATCGCGATAACTCGGTTAAATTTATACGATAAATATTGCGGACGATAATTGCACGTATTAAAAATGTCCTATGAAAAAAATGGCTCACATGAAACACGATTTGTAGCAACGTTCGATTCATACATTGTACGCCTGTGCATCATTATTGTTCCTCATTAGCATTTAATGACGAAGAGAAGGCGAATAATTGAATGGAGGGCAGAAATTATTGCGCGGATGACGTTTTACCTCGTTTCACTCGATGTTCCTCAAAGACGCTTCAGTAATTTAGAGCTCTGTTTAACATCTCTTTAGTTCGAGTCTAAGCAATATATCTTACCGCACTGTGTGCAACTTCTCTGTTCGTGGTCTATTTGCGTTATATCTGTCTGGTACACCGTGTCCCATGAAACCTCATCAACCGATGGCACGTTACGTGGAACGTTCTCAACGTTATTCGCGATTTATTGTATATTACCCTCCTTAGTTAGGCAAAATGTCCTAATTAAAACGTCCAATTACTTGCTTTATTAATACACCTCCCACACATTCCACAACTTTAATTTATTAAAATCAAAGAAAATTCACTTTGGAAATTTAATCGAGAATAAAATCAGTCTCCTTAGTTTTTTTGCAGTAAATTAGGGGATGATTATGTCCACAGTCCATGAAAGAGGTTACATAACCTCAAAATTCAATATGTAACTTCAAAATTAATTTTTTAGAAATATAAAGAGCTTGGATATTTAATGAAGAATTAGTGACGATGCAAATATTTTATGAACTAGTTTAATTTATTTTTTGTTGAAAAAATTAATAAAGAGATTATGCAGTCTTTTTCGTCAAACGTTAAAACCTGAGTTGGTGCATTACAAGCACCATTTTGTTACACTTTTATGTCATGAAACTCACAAACAAAAAAACATGAGTTCCAAGTCAATAGTTGCTATAATTCCAATTATTTTACATGAAGAATACAAAGTGTTTACACAGTAATTTTTGTTGAAGTTCAACCCTTAAATTGACATATTACAAGTATTCTTTTGCAGTACTTTTATGTCATGAAAAAGTATGAGACTTATCAAGACATGCATTTCTATCGCATTACCTGCTATAATTAATATTTGCTTGCTTTGTACGAATAATAATGAGACGATTATACAGTCGTGTTTGTCAAGCTTCAAACTTTAAATCGATGTCCCGTAAGCGTTATTTCCTAATACTTTTATGTCATGAAACTGTGTTAAGCTTGTACAGATTCTGAAGAGCTTAACATGAATTTCATACTAGTTCATAACTCGCTATAATTGAAAATTACCCATTATGCATTCAAAATATTGGCCAACAGTTTATGTAGCTATTTTCGTTAAACTTCGAGCTTTGCGTTGGTGTATCGCAAGCACTACTTTGCAACAGTTTTATGTCATGAATTTTACCATATATCTTTACAAAATTATTTCGCAATAGTGATACTAAATAAAATTATTTATATTTACATCAATACACGTATTTTCCCTTCGTGTACATATGTTGTTATGTATAATGTATAATTTCACATCATTTTTTATAAATTATTTTATAAATTAATTTTCATAATGTTTTGTATATTATGTAAAATAATGGCTGCATCATCGCTACATCTCCAAATAAATAATTCATTTTGTATGAAAATATGCATCATGCAGGCAACTGCAAACAGGCGACGTATAAATAAGATGTTATTTTAAACGATAATTTAAAGACAAGTTAAATCCGTAACAAGTAGGTATATTTACCTAGGTATCAGTTTATCCTCAAGCATGCTGGGCAGATCGTTCGAATCTTCGTTGAGTGCGGCGAAAAATTCTTGAAAGTTATCGGGAAAGCTGCTAGGCGGACAGCTGTTCATGGAAACCCGATCAAGAAGCTCGCTGGAATTTTTCTCGATGGCTTCATGATGCCCTGACACGATTGACGTTTCCATATAGTACATATAAACCCCGAGACTCGAAGGCGATTACTTTAACCCTCGAACGACGGAGCTGGGTCAATCATGACCCGAACCTATAAAATATGTATAACGCTTCTAGAATTATCTTCTCAGATTTTTTCGAAATTTCAACGAGGAAATTTTATCTACGCGAGTAGAATAGACATTCGGAAAATTAACCCTTATGGTTGCGTTACAGAAACGGAAATATTTCATTACACAGAATTATTGATTACTACTGACATTATTGCGTTTCAATTAGTAATAATATTATTACGTTAATTACTAATATCCGTAGGCGTGGAAAATTCGAATATTCTAACAGAGGTGGAAATCGGATTTGAAATTTATTAATATTGCGAGCATTATTAATTTAAGCGGTATGTATCGATAATTAATACCGATTAGTAATTACGGATGTAATATTCGCTAGAGTTTTAACTCATTAATATTAGTACTCTAATTATTAATAATTTTCAATTTTATTTATGCTCGAATCACCCTAATTTTTAAATCATTCAAAAATCATTCATAAAATTGAAAAGAGAACAAATGTTCGATCAAGGGTCAATTTATCATCGAAAGTGACTCGTCGTTCGAGGGTTAATCATGCTTTACCGGACATCCGTTTTCCTTCATCCGCAAGGTTTCTAAAAGCAACAACAAAAAGAAATGACCCAAACGAAAAATTCAACGTTTAAATGTATATAAATTTCACAACGGAGTTTGTTTATAAAACACTGAGTAGCACGTTTCACGTGGACGGCAAAATAATTCGGAAGATTTCCGGCATGGTTTCCTGCGGCTCGCGTGGGAAGAAATTCCGCGCGTTATCTCGCGGAGGAAATAAAGGAAAACTGTTTCGAGAGATTGTCGGAACGTCGTACGGTTCTGTCTCGACAAGACCTTGATGAAAACTGAAGCTCGCATGGTTGTTGCACGTCGTTCTAGCTTCAAGTGTGCTTGGCTTGCGCAAGCGTGCCAACTCACCCCCGAGGTCCCCCCGATACGAACAATATACGCGACAACCTGGTGAAAGTGACCATTTCTTTTCATTTTATCCTTCTATTTCCACCCCTGGTCACGTGCTTGCAGAGAAAGCAACCCTTTGCTATCCTCGTAAAAACTCACGGGATATTTAAGCAGAAACGCGTTGTTCACTTTCGGACTGCGCGTTTTGAGGGATGCTTTTGAATGGGGATCAAGACTTGATACATGCGGGTTTGCTGCGTAATACAGTTTTAGAAATATATTATCGCATGGTGAAATTTTTAAATTATTACTAGTTGAAACATATGTGGAAGCATATGTGAAGTCATAAATTCGAGAATTATTAATATAATTTATGTGGTAAATTATCTTTAAAATATTTCTGTTAGAAGTAATATGTGAGAGCGTATGTGGTTAAAGTATAAATTAAAAAATTATTACTGTTAGAAGTAATGACATGTAAGAGCGTATGTGGTTAAAGTATAAATTAAAAAATTACTACTATTAGAAGTAATGTCATGTGAGAGCATATGTGATGCACATTACACATACGAAAATTATTGATGTGGTAAATAATATTTAAATTTTAACTACTAGTTAGAAGCAATATGTGAGAGCGTATGTGGTCAAAGTATAAATTAAAAAATTACTACTATTAGAAGTAATGTCATGTGAGAGCATATGTGATCCACATTACACATTCGAAAATTATTGACGTGGTAAATAATTTTTAAATTTTATCTACTCGTTAGAAGTAATATATGAACGCATATGTGGTCAAAGAATAAATACAAAAATTATTACTATTGAAAATAATGATATGTGAGAGCATATGTGGCCAAATTACACATTTGAAAATTAGTCACCTGGTAAATAATTTTTAAATTATTTACATGACTAGTTAAAAGTAACATATGAAAGCATATATGGTCAAATAATAAATTCGAAAATTATCAATATAATTCACTGGTAATTTTTAAACATATGTGAAAGCACATATCTTACGTGATGTATTATGCACTCGAAACTTAGTCATTAATATAAATAAATTCCCAGTTTGCAGTTTCGCTAATTCGTCATATGTTTATATGAAAACTTGAAAGCTCGTTCACACAACGTCAGCACAGTATTTCATTCTTGTCGATTTGCTTCTTGACAAACATGCTACAGTTCGTTTTGTAAACACGAAGAAGAATAGGCGTTGAAGATGTTCCTTATACGCGGTCTTCTTCAAGGATTAACAGAAAATGATGCAAACGAGCATTGGGATTGAATAATTCCCGTTTCAATAAAGGGAAATCTAGGACACTTTTTCTCTTTCTTCGCTTTGAGGACAGAATTCATTCGGTCCGGATTGGTCGGGTCTTTTGAGGGTAGTTTTTTTGTCGCAGAAACTTTTGGAAATGAGAAAATTTTTAAGAGGTGATGAACAATTAATTTGTAATTGTTTAGTAAGGTTGTACTTTTTTTTTGTAGTTGTTAATACGACGAGAAGATCGTTAGGGGAGAATCTGAGCCGTCGAAAAGTCATAGTTTTTGTGGGGGCGAGTTAAAAGGGAGCCGGTTCGTTACCGAAGAAAATGAAACTATCTGAAAGGCCTTAAGCATCGCTCTTTACGATCGAATACCTAACCCTTGTTAGCAGAAAAACACGTACGAAGGTCAACAGCGTTCCTAAAATAAGTACTTTTGCTTGAGGATTAATCAACACCAAATTTACTTGTAGGAGAATCAATCCAAAATCCATCAATATAAAAAATTGTAGTACTACGCGTAGAAATGTAATGCGTAAGAGTACTACACGTGGAATTACAACCCGTGGAATTACGATACGTGGAATTATGATGAGTGGAATTCCAACGCATGGAATTACAATGCGTAGAATTATGACGCGTGGAATTACAACACGTGTGATTGCGATGCGTGGAATTCCAACGCATGGAATTATGATAAGTGGAATTCCAACGCATGGAATTACGATAAGTGGAATTATGACGTGTGGAATTACAATGCATGGAATTTCGGTGAGTGGAATTTTGACGTGTGGAATTACAATGCATGGAATTACGACGCGTGAAATTACGAAGCGTGGAATTACGATGAGTGGAATTATGACGTGTGGAATTACAATGCGTAGAATTACGATGCACGAAATTGCGACGCGAAGAACTTGATCATTCTTAAACTCAGCCAAAAATCCAAAACAAAATTCCAAAATTAAGTATCCTAAAAACGAAAATGAAAATCGATACAAAATTTGTTTATTAACAAACTCTAAAAATAAAAAAAATCGAAGACGTTTTATTTTCGTCTCAGATATTAATAAAGTGTCATAAATTTCATTCACCTTTGAAAAGTACGAAAAATTTGGATGACTAACAGGAGTCCCAGCGGTCAAGGAAAACGCATGTTATGTAGAAAGAAAGTGGACGTGTCAGGTTTGAGAAAGCGGCACTGAAAATAAATCTGTGGCGCAGTTTTCATTTGCGTTTCTTTTATGTAATGCGAAGACAGCACACGCTGGTTGTTAAACGTGGAAAACCTGACACAATTTTGTGACATGAAAATATTACGAAGAAACATTCGTGACATTTTAATTTGGAGATGGTGCTGTCATGTGTTCGATTGTCGAGTTTTATCGTCGCTTGTTGTGTTTCCGCGTTTTGTATTTTTACGCATTTTATTTCCAAGCGTCGTATTTCCACGTGTGGATATTTGACGCATCGTAATTCCACGCGTCGTAATTCCATGCGTCGTAATTCCATGCATCGTAATTCCACACGTCGTTATTCCATGCGTTGAAATTCCACTAATTGTAATTCCACGAGTTGTAATGCCACGCGTCGTAATTCCACGCGTTATAATTCCACGCGTTATAATTCCACGCGTAGTAATTCCACGTGTAGTAATTCCACGCGTCGCAATTCCACGCATTGTAATTCCACGCGTCATAATTCCACTCATTGTAATACCACGCGTCGTAATTCCACTCATTGTAATTCCACGCGATATAATTCCACGTGTCGTTGCACCAGGCGTTGTAATTCCACGCGTGGCAATCCCACGTGTGGTACTTTTATGCGTAGTACCCCCACATTTTGTATTTCTACGCGTCATTTTTCCACGCGTTGTATTTCTACACATAGTATTTCCACGCATAATACTATCACGCACTGCATTTATCCGCGTAGTATTCCCACATTTTCTATTTCCACGCGTTGTACCACATGTTGCATTTCTATGTCCCGTATTTGCACAAATACGTTATACTCTAACCACACGTTATACCCTCATACGTGTATCATCCTATGTGGCATTGTAACGATTTGTATAGCCACGAACTATGTACCTACGCATTATTATTACTACTACGTGTTATATTCTCACATATTGTACCATCACGCATTATGTCACTATGTTCTATTTTACCTTGTCACACATTGTGTACTGACAATTATCGCAATGTCTTGCATTATACATACGTATTCTGTTTAACCCAAAATCTATCAGTATCTATCAAGGTAAATATTAAAAATGTGTAATTTATACGATATTGATGTTATGTTTAGAACGAGCAGTAGGGAAACAAGAATGGCTAATGATATGAGTGTTTGCTAGAGAAACATCCTTGAAACGATGGTTACAGCAAACTATGTTGAGTTTAATGTTTTCCCTTGGTCAAACAAGAATTTTATTTATCTTCTTATATGTATTCTGGATTGTGTACTGGCACACGCACTTATGTAGACATAAATCGACTCGGTTGTTACATTGTTATATAAAAGTATTTAGGTTCAACTATATTTAATTCTTGTATGATTTAAAATTCACATTCACGTCACACTAGTTTCTTTCATGTTATAAATACTGTTTGACAGTACATTATTTATGCATCATATAAAAGTCCTTGATCTGCGAACTTGAGTGTCTAATTTTAGTTAGTGCATCACTGTGCATCGGTCTACCGTTCACAGTTGACCTAATCATACATTATATAATAAAATTTCTCCATTACTTAAAGATCAGTTTATGAACTTCTAACTTGTAAATTTTATTTGTAGGATGCTTCAATGTTCCACAGAGTTTAACAAGTTCTACTTAAAGAAGTATTGTTCTAAATTAACGCAGATTTAAACTTGATACCACGTGGGAATTCTGAACGATAATAATCGTGTTAATTTCACGGTTTGATCCTTTCTGCCACATCCTGGTCAGAAACAAGTAATATCCGGTGATGCTGTTGCTCTCGCCACAAGGAATTTTATTCAACTTCCAAGCACGTTTCTCGCACTTTGTACGCGCGACAATCGATCGTTCCGCTCATCCTTCTTGATTCTTGGGGTCAATCTCATCGCTGGATCAACCTTTTTCTATCCTTTTACTTAAAACCTTTGTTTTTCTTCTGTCTTGATGTACAAGGCGTTTCAGAACCTCGTCACCACAAAGTATCAACTCTATTTCCAAATTGTTCAATTTTAATTTTCTTTTCACAAACTTTAACCTCTCATTTTATTAACTATTACAAATTATTCATTTTTAAATACATGTTCATTACTTCTATGTGTATTTAAACGATTGCAAATCTTTATATCTTTACGTTAAAAAATCTGAAAAGCTGATATCTTCAATTTGTTGGAAACGTTTTAAAAATCCAGTTTCCATGAAAATGGTTTCCAACGATGAAATCCGTTACTTTTGATACGTTGACGTGAAAGCACGAAAAGTTCCTTCGAGTTCGTCGCAAGATTCTACAGAATTCTGTTCAAGATTATATTTCTTGACAAGGCGCAGACCTAAAACGATATCGCCGGAAGGTAAAGAAAGAGCGTACGAAACGGGGCAGACGAGGGTGAATTTGAATGTCCCCAGTATAAATGTAACTTTGGTACACTTCTTTTTCATGAATGTACCAAACGAAATACCAAAAATAGACACACAATAAAATTTCAAAAAGCAGTTCTAATAAACTATTTATTTTATCACGTTTTTTATGTAATATTAAAAACTTTTAGTTGATTTTTCATCACAAAATGGAAGAAAGTTTTCATCCTAAAATAGGAGTTTTTCGTCGTGAAATAGTTTCTCGTCGCTTTTTTAAAAATTAACGATTAAATCGCACTTATCGTGGAACACCTTGTAGAGAGACCTCCAACGAGCTTGTCAACAAACTTTATCGTGCTAACGAACCGAATGGATCTTGTTCCCTATCACCCTTCGAATTCAGTTCACGACGTGAACCCCCGGCCAGTGAACACTTACTAAATTTACAGAACGAGGGTCTTTCAATCGACGCAAAACGAACCGGTCGTTTATTACTCGATCGTTATTTTCATCGATAAAACTTGCTGAATAAGCCTTTGTTCAAACCAATAAGTTGCATTAAACATATAACATTAACCTATTCTGACATCGATACTTCGTACAACTTTCTGGAGTCTGGGTTCAGATTAGAGATTATATTCTTATTTTACTATACTAAAAGACTTACTATCAAAACCTAAGTTGTCCATAATCCCCTCAAGTTGTTCCTGACTTACATAAGTTTCTCTTAGATTCTATTTAACTTAACATCAAATTCTAATTAATTGAAATCGGTTCCCGTTAACAAGCGCATTCGAATAAAGCTCGCGTTCCTATCGATTCGTCGGTGATTTTCTAGGAATAAGATTATCCCGATCCGGTTGCCATCCGGAAGTGTCGTGCATCGACTGTCTCGAAATTTTCCTGCTATTTTATTTATCGTAACGAGAGTGATGGAAGGCGGCCGGAGCCCCAGGGATCGATAACTGTTATCGCGGTTGTTACCATGGATACATCAAAGCTCGTTCGTTAACGCTTGAAAATGATTAAGACGTGGCTACAGCTTATTACCGGGAGTTAATCAAATTCGACAATCGGCCGGGACGATGTATCGGGTAGTCACCGGCGAGGCTTCAGGATGCGGGTCTCCGCCGGTTATCGATACCTTTTCTCTTCAATTGACCTTTCGGCCGATGCGGACGAATATGTACGTCCTACCGAGAGTCATCAGCGTGGATTATCGACGCACATGTGCGGTTGATCAAATTTCCTCGCCCTACTACCCCCGGTCATCGAATTAGAACCACTCAACATTTTCAATATATTTCATGCTTTTATGGTGAAATTGAAAGGGTCGAGCGGAATTAAATAACAGAGTTTATTATGGTTTCCACATCGAAACGCTCTATCGTAAAAAAGATACTTCCGATGACCTCCGCGTTTCGATATAATAAAAATTCCTTGTCAAGGTTGAATCATTTTTTAAATCTTCAAGTTCAACTTATTACTGATTTGTCTTCATTATTTAATGACTCTGTTTTGTTATTATTAAATAATTCTGTTCATTAAAGTTATTTAAGTAACTTTAATTAAAAGAAATAAATGTAACGTTATGATTGAGACACCATATGACGCACCACATGCGTCAGCGAACAAATCTTCATCATCCAGTTTCAAAATGAACTATTTGTTTTTATCGAAATTATTTAATTAGCGAAAGGAGTTGTCCTGGAAGGTGTTGGTTCTCCAACTATATCCTTATCAGGCTAGGTGTCGCTGACACGCGTTTCTCTTTCGACGTCTTAAGTGATGTCTAAAGATAGGACCATTGTCTTGGAAGCGCGCCTCTTTCTCCCGTCGAACTCTCAAAGGGCCACTGATCTATGAATAGGTCTTTGCCGCTTCTTTCTTATTCCTCTTATATCGTCGTCAAGTCCTTTTATCGGGCTTCACTCGACGTTGCTGACGCGAAGATGGTGTTAGTCGTCGGTGAGCCCGATTTCTGGAGACGATGGAGAAATTTCTTGTCTCCTCATCGACAACGGAAATCTAAAAGAACCTGATGAATTAGTAGAAAAATACTCTTGTTTAAGTTTACTTGTTAATCCGTTTAGATTGCATTTTAATCAAAATAAAATCTACTTCTCTTGTATAATTCTTTACTTCAATATTAATCATTGAGTACAAGTTAACTACCTTCAAACATGTGAACAGACTGTGATATTTCAAACACTGAAATAACCAAAGTTGCATTAAACATGAAATAAACCTGTACTCTTTAAAATAAAATTATATTAACGTTGACATTGATTAAAATACAAAAATAAAATTTAGTATTTAATATTAACAAAGAAGAGTCAATAAATATGTCACTACTCCTCAAAGTCTCCTGATAATATTAATTTAAAATAAAGAACTAAAAGGACAGAACACTACAGGTAAAGAGGACTCCCAAAAACAAAAATTACTTTCTATAAAAGATATTGCAATTTCTTTAATTAATTTAAGAAAGATAAAGCAAGGTTCCAATACAAATAAAGCTACCAATGTATGAGTTTTCCATTTTTATTTCAGAGATAGAAAAATCAGATGCAGAGTGTTTCTTGCAATTTAAGTTGTTTTTTGCTTTTTGCTTTCACTTGAGCCGCAATACGATCTAAATCCCTGCGGCCTTGGCTGGTCAATTTGCGTCCACCAAGTGGGGCCTTCTCGATAAGTTTCAATTGTTCTAAGCTCTGGAGAGCTTTGCGGGCAACACCACCAGCAGAACGGCAGAAGTGGCTGGGATGGGTACCGTTACGTTTGCGTCCTCCAAAAATCTTTGTCACTGATCCTACACCAATTGGGCTGCGGATGTAAATGTGACGGACCAAAGCAGCACACCTAATGTAGTACCAGTCTGGATCGTATGGAGCAAGTTCCTTGAAACGTGCAGACTTTACAATATCTACCCATTCTGGAACTCGCATTTTACCGGTCCTAAAATTTACAATTGAATACATTAGTTTTGAAGACACTTGTAAAATTTAATGATAGTTTTGAATTGCACGTATGTTTTATGTATCTACAGAACTGAAGTATATTTATTCTTATGAAACTTTAGAGGAGAAATAAAAGATGCAAGAGCTGTACATCTTTAGAATTATTAAAGTTAAACATGTAAGTTTATAATCATAAATAAAGAATGGATCATGTAGAACATATGATACATATTATTTTGAGGTTAAATGGAACGCATTACTTACTTTTTCAAGAAAGCGGCAAAAGCTTTCACAAATTTGTGTTGGTCAACATCTTTCAACGTTACGGAAGGCATCTGCAATAAATTTTATATATAAATAACTGATATTACAAAATGTGTCACTAACCTATAAACCCACACGTGTACTACCATAACAATAAATACAATAATACTGCAATTATATGTAACAAAAATTATAACAAAATACATCTAAGCGACGCAGAAATTATATTTATTAGATTATAAGGTAAATTTATTACCTTGTCTTGCAATTAGATGCTAAATTCGATGCACAAAAAGTACATACACTCGGTTCTAAAAGTAACCGGAAAGAAAGAGTTGCAGATGGCGCAGCAAGCAGTGCATGGCTGTAACCGGAAGTTGTCAGGAAAATTCAAACTACAGAACAGAGATATGATAATTAAATCAATTTTATTCATTATATTTTTGATTTAAATAAATCAATTTTATTAATTATATTTTTTATTTAAATAACTAAATAATAGTTACAAGTATATATATGTGATTTTAAAACTATATATAATAAGTATTTCATTTTCAAATTAAAACACTATTACAGACAAAATTAATCATTTTCTAACTTTTAAACAAACTGGATCTTTCTGATCTCGTTGAGACAATTGTTCATTCCACGCAATAAACGTATCCTTATTTAGCGTTGCATTGTATTTCTTCAAATTTACATCCATGGGTATCGAAATAAATAATTTCGAAGCCGGTGGTACATTTTGATTTTGTTGCTCCTGTTTTTTCTTACGGAGAGCAAAGAAATTGGTCACCATATAGTAGACAAATTCTACGAAACTAATTACGGAGCCTCCTAAACAAAGTCCGAAGATTCCACCGAAGGATGCTAAAATAAAAAAATGGAAGTTTAGAAACTAATTTTATATAAAGTTTATATGAACTTTATATTTAAACTTCAATCACGAATCTTTTTCTTACGAAATTAGTTACTGTTATCAGTTCATTAATCTGAATGAAGAAAAAAGTGTTCAGAAAGCTTCTCTTACCAAGAAGACTATCCCATCCCAGTATAGTTTGCTTCCGATACTCAAGATAGGTGCCATCTCGGAAATACACGTACAAGAATGACGTGTTTTTTGTATCCAAACCACGTCTGTAAGAAATAATTACTTAATTAATACTGTAACAAAATTTCTGATAAATCTGTGTAAACAAAGATCTGTTAAAATTCATCATTTCTCATATGTTCTTTATCGTATAAAAATGCATAAAGAACATTTCAGTGTTGCAAAATCACTCACGTTAGTTCAGAATCGTAACTCAATTCGTCTATTTGCACCGATTCGGAAATCACTTCGTACGACTTGTCGTTGCACTGTGGAAGACAATTGCAGTCGCTCACGTGCGATAACTGTGTCTGTGCCAAGCTCCCTGTGCATATCAAAAATTTCCGAATAGATTCGTAATTCTAGTTGCATAAAACTAACGAATTATTTACTTACTTCTGTGAGATAAAATGCAATCTACGTCCGTCAAATAACAGGTACGCTCGTTTGGATCTATCAACATACTGGACAAATGTTTGCAACATTTCCTGAATGATTCATGAACGGTAACATAATTCTAACTTTCAATTGAATCGTGTTCTTTCGATGCAATAAAAATTTACTTTGTAAAAATTGTTTACTTTATGAAAGTTAACAGAGTTTGTTTGAAAGAATTTGAAAATATTTGTAGATAAACGTAGAACGATTTACTCACGTTCGTTCGGGTAGAAAAAAGGCAAACATCCACAAGGACCGTACATTTTCTGCTGCATACATTCTGAGATGCACGTTTGGTAACTATAGTCGCGTTCTCCGGGGACCTAGAAGTTAATATTAATTTTGTAATTTGGGTATTTTATATTAATAAAGATCCATACGTACCTCGTCATCGAATAAGCACATTCTCTTGCGCAAAGGTATATTCTGAATGTCGTCGGAGCTTTTGATTTTCGTTCCCGAAAGTGTCATCGACATCGAATGGCCCGGTTGCAGAGTGGCGGACTGTGCACCAATATCGGGATAATCTAATGGATCGTGTATCAATATGGTGGCGCCCACAAATTGCCTCACGGAACTTTTGTAGTTTTTAGCGTCGATGTTCAACGCCACTGCTAAACCGATGTCGCGTCCGGTCCCCGGCACGTGCTGGTAATAAAATTATTTGTCAATGTTCATACGCTCTTCGTTAATTTCTAATTATCTTGTATGGACATTTATGAAATTAATAAAAAGTAATATTAATAGTAACTTTATTAAAAAACACTTTAGAATAATTTTAATTTTAATCTTATAGAAGGCAGAAATATTTTTACTCCACTAATATAAAATTGCAAGGTTTATAACAATTATGAGAAATCTTACTAAAATATTTCCGACTCCTGGCAGAGGGTCGGAAGAATTATATTCGTGTAGATCCTCTTCGACAGTCGTTATGTTCGCCAACCACGCATCGTCATTTCTAAAAAATGAAACAGATGTTATTTAATTAAGAGAATGAATATTAAAATACTTGAAATGAAACTTCGATGCAACACAAATATTATAAAATGTAAAAATGCAATAATAACATTATGAAATATAAATTGAATTGAGTAAAAAAATTAAGAAATCTAAATTAAATGAAAAATATCAAAAAAAGCAACAGCTAAATATTTAAAAAATAAAGCAAATGAGATTTTCAATATCACGCAACAAATATTTAGAAGTTATTTTACTGAAAATCGTCAGAAAGTTCAAAATGGTAGTTGAAGCCACAGCAGAATCCCTCGTTCGATTTCACAGTTCTGAAGATTTTGTTGCAATCATAGAGTTGACCAAGCCAGGAACACCTTACTATCAACATACTGCAAGGCTGCATCAGCTGTTTCAAAAAGATTTTCGCATTATATCTCGTAAAATTGAATGAAGAGGAATTTATTCACCTCGTACATTAATTTCTCCACACTGTAACCTAAAATGTCGAGGGCCCAAGATGCAGTTGCGTTATCGATAGCAATTCTGTCGGGACGTATTAATTTCATTAGAGAGGAGAATAATTTGTTGGTCATGCTGATATCAAATCCGTTCATCAACCTATTGAAAAAAATTTGTTTAATGAAATGTCCTCAGTTTTGTAAATTAAAGTCAATTTTTTAATTATATTTTTGAAATAGTAGAACCTCTAAAAAAATTATTTAATTATATAAAGTATTAAATACTGAATAATGTAAATTATTCAGTCGTCACACAGTATCAATTATTTGTTGTAATATTATCTTTTGTTATAAAAAGGTGGGAGTTCAGTTTAATTGCTAGACTAATATATTAATGAATAAGAAGACTGCAAGAAGTTCAATAAGACCTACTCACAATTTCTGTGCAATTTTATCAGCATGTGGTTTATAAACTTTATTATTGTTGCACACGGTGATGCCAGGAAAATGCAACTCCTTTACAGGATTCGATGTATCGATAATTGTTACAGTGGGGTTGTTCTCAAAATATGACCACAAACGCAGCATCAGAGTGACGCAGAAGACAATGGCCGATACACAGATCTATTAAAAATAAATACCATTGTTGCAACGTAAAGGGATAAATAAAATACAGTGAACTTTCGTTATATTGCCAAGAATGAAGCTGTAAGAGTAACAAATTTTTTCATTTAGTTATGTAGTGTTTTCTTTAACAGTGTTATCTTTAATATAGCAACGATACATTGATCATCTTGATGTCTAATGAAGACGGCAATATAACGAGACTTCACTAAAGATTTCATTTACCGTTAACCACAGTGTTTTATCGAAGGTTGTCCTGCCTGTGACGATATAACGAAACCCATGTAAACCCGTATTTTCGCAGTAGACGCGAAAGAATTTTTTTAAAGATTGAGCGAAGCTTGATCGAGATCCTAAATCAAAAATTAATTTGTTGAGAGTTTGTTCATTTTATGTTATGTTACATTTTAAAATTATGTTCATTTTATTTAGCAACATTCATTTTATTAAAGCAATAATTATTATGTTTTGATAGATAAAATGGCCGACTAAAACGTAGAAGGTTTGATATCATTTCGTGAGATAAAAGTACCACAAAATGGCACCCAGGCATTACACTAAAGCTTAAAGTGTATTAAAAGTGTCACCGTAAACTTTGAGACAATATTTGTAATGCAAAAGGCAAAATTTTCAATTACAGTAAGTAATAAAGTAAATGGAACTCATATCTTGCTCGTTTATGAAATATCAATCATAATTTTGTCATAAAAATATTGACATAAAAGTGTCGCAAAATGGCACTTATGTTACATCAAATTGAAGATCGTAATCTAATAAATATGACTACATTAACGATTAATCGATAGTTTTATTACTAAATAGATGGTCAGCAATTATAGTGCATAAAAGGCTAATCGTAATAGTCCTCTTTCACGAAACGAGAGCTTCACGCGATTTTATACTATAAAAGTAAAATGGCTTACAGCATATCAAATTATAGTTCGAAATTGAATAAAATTAACAATATAAACTATTAACTAACATCACTGTCATATTTTTTTAATATCTTTAATACAAAATGACTAAATATAAATTATTCTAAATATATGTACTTGCGTATTTTAATCAAATTATATCATAAAAAAAAGTAATATCTTAATCACCACAAACGCCATTAATTTTTTTAGGTAAAATCTCCTTACCTCGTCTAAATTTCTTATTCTGTGAATAGTAAGCGGGTTGAAATTTATTTTTCATGTTGATGTTCCAAGAGCTAGCAAACGACTGAACGCATCAACTCACGATACCATCTAACCCATTTGTCCATCGATATCTTTAATTCAATTCCTTTTTTCCACCAGGTTCTATGAATTCTCCGAAACATCATTAAACTTACGCTAACACATAATTTTTAACAGTTCATGCATATAGTATGAGATTGGTGCAATTGATACGAGTTTTACTATGGTCTATATAAATATCCCTTTTTTCGTGAGGAGGGCGAGGGTAATTTATGCGACGCGTTAAAGTTATAAAACTATTAATTTCGGTAGATATAACAACATTAATTTAGTTGCAAGCTGTAAACTATATTTAATATTTTACAGGATTTGATATGAGAAGTACTATTGGTACTGCAATGAAATTTTTGGCTTGATTTCCAAAATTTCATTTTGTTCAATGTTTGAACGGTGGTGGTACTTCAGAACATATTACATTTCAGACTCTAAGCAGGATGGCTACTTTATAACCCGCCGATGGTATTGCAAATATTTCTTTTACCAACGCCTGCAATTTTCATATGCGTATTTATCGACGACAAATAATGCAATTTTTAGTGAAATTTTGGAACCATTATATTTCCTTTCGAAATAAGAAGCTAGTTTGCAAAATTTAGTCAACTAAAATTATAAAGTAAACAATATTATTTAAAACTTTAGCGCCTTACGTAGCACCATCTGACGGCAAAGTGCGGAATTACTGGAGCGACAGTTCCAAAAGTGTGTAGTTCACCCCGTTCGCCGGAGAGATGGCGCCAGTTGTTCAATTTTTATAAAAATTCAATTCATATTGATTTTATTAATTAATATATTATATATTCATTAACATTGACTTAACTAATGCTACATATAATATATTCGATGGTTGCAAAAATGCAGATTGTGAATTTTCGCACGCTATACTGTATCTCGTCGATAATACAGGAATTGACAAAAACTTAGCTTGGTGATCACCAAAGACCAGTCTCACTTATCTTCTTTTGTAAAAGAGAGCTTGTACACAACCAATTTAAATGCTCAAATCAAAAACTAATTTTGCTAAGTCTTGCATTTTATTATAAAAAATTGTAAATCTTCTAGATTTGTATAAGTGTAGAACTTGTAATACGTTACTTGATCCAAACATTTTCGAAAAAGAAAATGTTGAACAAATGAAATACTCTAATTCGTAGCTATTAGCTCGATATCGTTTTCTAAAGTTCATTTTTAGAAAAATGTTTAGAAAACGATATCGATTACCAGGTCACACCACGTGGAGGTTGCTACGATAATGACCCACCCTAACTCCAAATCCCTGCCACCCTCCATTTGCAAATCCCTCATTTATCGGAAGGATAAATGAGTTCTGACTCTACTTAGCCCGTGGGCTCGCAAAAATATACAAATTCTTTACCACAGTTGTATCACACACGCACACATACATTAACTTAATACTAATCGCATGGGATCCCACACACATACGCTTAACTTATTCTACACGCCGCACGGTACCTCTCATTCTAAGATTGCACTCAAATAATCTATGACGAATTCAAAAAGCAAAGGGAAGAAAGTTAGAAGAACTTTCCGTCAAAAAGCAAAGAAAGTTAGAAGAACTTTCTACTAAAAGGAAAGAAAGTTAGAAGAACTTTCTGCCAAAAAGGGGGAACTTTATTTTTCGCCAAGTGAACCTTGCTTTCCATGGGTCAAAGGGTAGTCCATAGTGGCTTACGTGAACCACGACGGCAAAGGTGAACCGAAGATACCTTTGGCAAGAACGAGTGATACACCCCAGTTGGCGGAGGGTTCCCATTTCCCCCAGCGCTCTCGCGTCTTACTACAGAGAGGATACCCAGACCGTGATGCCCCTTGGCAGAATGGCGGCGGGTCGGGGAGGCACATCAGAGTATGAGAGGTGCCAACCCCGATCCGCCCCGCCGGGCAAAGAATGTCACTCGCGCTCACCGGCACTTGCAGCTCACCTCTGCCGCGTGTTCATAGCGCTGTGAACCCCCCATGATCCACTTGAGCGCAGAACAATTGACAAAAAATAGGGGGGGTATACTACAAGCTAATGAAAGTTAGAAGAACTTTCTGTCACAAAAAAAAGAAAGTTAGAAGAACTTTCTACTAAAAACAAAGAAAGTTAGAAGAACTTTCTACTAAAAACAAAGAAAGTTAGAAGAACTTTCTACTAAAAACAAAGAAAGTTAGAAGAACTTTCTACTAAAAACAAAGAAAGTTAGAAGAACTTTCTACTAAAAACAAAGAAAGTTAGAAGAACTTTCTACTAAAAACAAAGAAAGTTAGAAGAACTTTCTACTAAAAACAAAGAAAGTTAGAAGAACTTTCTACTAAAAACAAAGAAAGTTAGAAGAACTTTCTACTAAAAACAAAGAAAGTTAGAAGAACTTTCTACTAAAAGA